CCTTCCCTGCTGCCTGCGCGGGCTGCCTGCCCCCCCCCCTGCTCCCCGTACAATCCTCTGGGAGGTACAGCTCTCCTTCTCCCGTCTTGTTCCTGTCTTCCGCCGCCGCTCGGTTGTGTCCGTCCGATGTGGGGAGTTAGCGCTGTGTTTTTCCCCGCAGACCCTGCCGGCCTGTTCCCTGCCTTCGCCGTCGTATCTAGCCAGCTGCCCGTCAGCGGCCAGCCTCGGTGCAGCAAACCTCTGCGCAGGGATGTGTAGGAAGGAGCTGCTCGCATCCCCCCCTCCCCGAGCTTAGCCTCGGCGTTAGGGGGATAGGGAGAGAAAGACTTGGGAAAGTGGAAACAATGAGCGTGCGAAATTTTCTCATTTTGGTTTTTCCAGCTCTGCCTGTTCTCACCCCCTGGGACTTAGCCCTGGTATCATATGCCAGCGCTGGCCTGGGAGTCCCTGGTCCCATTTTGCAATCTCCCGGTGTCAGCCAGCAGCTTGGGCCTTCCTGTAAGTGCCCCGACGGTCACGGGGAAGGAATGTTCCCCCGGCTGCGTGGGGAAAGGTCACCACAGGCAAAGGAGACTCTGGAGCCGGGCGAGCAGCTTGCCGCTCCCGCCCCTCGCCGATGAGGGCAACGCCGATCAGCACGGAGCCGAAAACGTTTTGGCTTACAGGGGAAATTTAAAAAAAAAAAAAAAAAATGGTTCAAGAGGTTAAATATTTTCAGCAAGGCCCCGCTTCCTTTCACAGGGCAGATCTCGGAGCAGATGCTGTGCCCAGGCAAAGTCCAGGAGGGTGCGTGCGTGTTTCATCGCTTTCTTAGCTGGAGGATGTTTGCCGTTGAATCCGCTCCCGAAAGCATCTGTGTCTCTCCCTAAAGCGGTGCCTGGGACAGCGGCGTCGGCCAGTCACCGCCTCTGAATAGCAGTTGGGCTGAGCAATATGTTCGCGTTGCGCTCGCAGCTTGTCGCTCTCTTCCCTTCCTACCCTGGGCCTGCCAACAAACCTCTCCCCTGAATGCGAGTCGGAAAGAAAGCTGTGACTTGCGGTGGCTGCGGGGGGATTAGCGTCCAACATTAAGGGCTTAACTCCCCGGCTCATCCCTGCCAGCCGGGGGTTTCAAGTAACGCCACCAGGCCTTTTTTCTTCCGCCCTCGACAGTTTGTAGCCTGCTTTAATAACGTCCTTTACACACCATTCTCCGGGCTGCGTTTGCTAAGCTGGAGCTTGCTCCTGGTACTTTGTTTTCGGAGTCCGGCCTGTTGGCTGAGGCTCCTGGGGACGATGGTCACATTTATCGGGGCAGGGGCGGAGCGGAGGGAGGAGGAGGAATCTCTACGTTGGGCTCATGAACCGAGTTTTTCAAAATTCTCAGCGTGTTTAAAAAAAAAAAATAAAATCTGGCCCTTCGTCTCTAGGTTACGTTTGCCTCTGCTGTGGCTGAGCTCATGGAAAATCGCAGCTTAGCTCCTGTGCTCAGTGCCAAGATTAGTAGCTTTAAAAACTAACCGATAACATCTTTGTAAACTCGGAGTCATTTCTTTAAAGCCTGCTGATCCCTCCAGCCTGGATTTTCGAGCTTTCCTAGAGATCCAAGCGAGCCAGGCGGGACGACAGTATCTGCCCTGAAAAATCGCCACGTCCCTCAGGAAAGTTGCCTTCAAACACCCCGAGGGAGGAAAGAGGCTGCTGTTCCCCGAGGCCCCGAAGGCTGTGTTTTGGGATCCTTCTCCCTGTTCCTAACCAGATAGACAGCACACGACAACGCTCTGCACGTAACTTATAATAATCACTGGTTTTATTTTTAAAAAATTACAATAGAAAAGTACCTTTAAACATATTTCCAAAAGCGGAGTAGACAATGTGGAAGCTTCTCTCCCCTCCACGAGACAAAGTACAGGAAATAGTTTGCTAAAAGAGTTAGTCCGTCGCTTGGAAACGCTGGTATCGTTCCTTTTAGAGCCGCTCAGAGGTCTGTCTTGGAACTGATTTCCTCTCACGTCACCTTTATCAATCCCACTTTTTACAGAAGACCCCAACGGGACAGTTTCCCATCGCACCATCTCACCCCGCCCCGGCTCCGGCAGCCGAAATCTCAGCCGTCTTATTTTGGCCCACCCACAGAATAAACGGAAGGAGGAAGAAAAAGGTTATGATGTTTAACAAGGCCACGGGCACCCTGTGTCTTCGGTACAGATAGGAAACCGGCTACGGCGAAGCCCGGGCAGGCGGCTGAGCTCGGTGTACTCTGCGGCAGGGATGGGGTGAGGGGGAAGGGCGATGAAAGGAGAAGCTTTGCGCCTCCTTTTGCAAGAGACTGAAATCTGTCTGAGGTTTTGGTTTGGTTTGCTTTGCTCTTTCTTTTTCCCAGTTCCTCCTGGAGCAAGGAGGAGGAGAGACTAGTACGTCAAGCGATCTCTTTGCTGGTACGCTATCTCTGTAGAGGTTACAGATACCGCCCCAAGGGTGTTAGCAGCCTCCCTTCTTGTCTTTGCACATGGAAACATGGAAATGCTACACAGCGAGCCGCCGGACCGGCGTAACCTTGACGCTAAAACCCCCGTTCAGCCCAGCGCTTTGGCGTAACGGTAGGCGCGTGTCTAAGCCCCTCGGCTCGCTCGGGACTCGCACCCGACCTCGAGTAAGCTGGCGAACGGAGGGTTTGTTGGTTGGTTTGGTTTTTTTTTTTTTCCCTCATACAGCAGTTTATGTTGCCCGTAACAACTTCAAGCAGTCATGGCAGGAGGAGGAGGCAAATTGTCACCTTGCTACATGTGCGGGCTGTCTCTGCCCGTCCCTGATCCGAGCCGTTGTACCATGCCGAAGCTTTGCACAGCAAGCTATTAACATAGCCCTAAGGTAAAAAAAATCACCATAAGAAAGTTTCTGATTGTCCTGCCTGGTTGTCATTTGGTACAACTGGGAAGAAAACGGTAATACTGTAAGTGTCCGTAGACGTCGTGCCGACACGGCCGGAGCACAACTCTTGTGCCAGAGGGAGCACAACTCCTACAAACCCGAATCGTGCGTCTCGACATCTGCACGCAC